CTCTTGCTCAGGCTGGTCTCGAACTCCTGAGCTCAAGCAATCCTCCTGCCTCAGCCTCCCAGAGTGCTAGGATTACAGGCGTGAGCCACTGCGCCCGGCTCCTAATTTCTAAATAGAAGATGCGCGTTCAGTTTGTGGAGAGTTCCTCTGAGTTGCTAATGTGTGGGTAGGTAGATGATACAGCGACAGCACTACTCAACCACTCTGGATGCAAGATGAGTTCAGTGACGAAGCCTGTGCTACAGATGAAGTAGTAAGTAGGTCAAAGTCCAAACCAGAGTGGAATAAGACTTGTGGAAGATGCGGGTTTGAATCGGCAGGAGGGGATTGGCTGAGAGGAGGACGGAGGGCCTCCGCGGGGGAGAGTGGATTCCCACTGCCTTGTTTTTAGTCTCTACTCTCAGAGTGCACTGGTCTTGTGTCAGCCCTCATCCCTTCTCAGGAGGGGCAGGGGGAGATAAGGTTGGAACATTGAGGCAAAATCAAATTAAGCAGTACCTGAAATTGCAGAGTGAGGAATTTGTACTTGGAACCTATTGAATGAGGGAGCCAGTGCAGATTTTTGGGAAAACCTATTAAATCTTGCTGCAGAAAGTAGACCAAAAGAGACAGAATCACTCGACAAGCAATAAGTTTTAATGTACTTTTTAAGGGTTAGTCATTAAAACAGCTCTGTCAGTCAGTATCATTATTCTCATTCTGCACAAGTTCTGCAGGAAATAGCTGGCAATCATGCAGGGACCTTATTCTTCCTCCCCTTCAATTGCACAGTGTTTGACCCTGCTGAGTGCCCCCTCGTGTCACAGTGCCTGTGTCCCTTTCTTCTCTGCACACCAGTCCTCTGCCACCAACACTGGGGACTGTTGCCAAGCCTGGAACTTAAATCTGCTGTAACAGGCAGTTTATTGGTACTTTGGTTTGCTTGAAAATGTTCAGGCTTCTCCTTTAATTTAAAAATAATGGAAATTCTCTTTGGAAAACAACTTCCTCCACAAGAAAAACAAATGGGAGACCTGCTGGATAAAGATTTAGTAGACTTGAGTTAGTTATTAAAATTAGCCTGATTAAATACAATTGGCCCTCCGTATCTGTGGGTTCTGTATCTATGGATTTAACCGAGGATAGAAAACTTTCAGAAAAAAATAAAAATAAAAAGACAACAATACAAGAATAAAGAATAATACAAAAATATACTATAACAACTATTTATATAGCATTTACATTGTATTAGGTATTATAAGTAATCTAGAGATTATTTAAAGTATACAGGAGGATATGCATAGGTTATACACAAATACTATGTCATTGTGTATCGGACTGGTATCTGCAGCAGGGAGAGTGGTGTCCTGGAACCAATCCCCCCCCAATACCAAGGGACACTGTACAGTCTTTTATTTAACAGCAACACTTAAATATGAGTCAATTTCATTTTGGAAAGTCCATCACCCTTGTTTCCTTGGACTGCCCATGTGAAAAGGGAAGGCTGCTTTCCTCTGCCCCTCTGTAGCCACATTGTAAACCTCAATTCTGGGGAAAGATTTAAAACGTTAAGGTCAAAAGAAAGGCCAAACCAATCATTACAGCAATGCTATACAGCTGCCAGAGTTGGTCTCCAAAGATATTGCTTTCATTATGTCATTCTCTTGCTAAAAACATGCAATACTGTTTCTTGGGCTTCTGCCTTTAAACTTCCCCTGGCTAATCTCACCCAAACCTGGAGTTTTCTTTTCTGGATTCCTTATTTCATCTTAATCTCCACAGCCAGACATTCCTATACTGGTGTTAGCTGGTATGGTCTTCCCTCAGCTGGAGGGTCAGCTCCTATGTTTCAGAAAACCGTGGTTTTTCCTCCACATCCTTTTGATCTCTCACAATGACTGGCAGGTGCTAGCCAAAGGCAGGGTTTGCAAATTGTGCAGCTAAATACCAAGTGAAGGTCTCAGAGTAAGTTTGTAGTATGTATATTTCCTATCTTTGGTTTATCCTGGTGAAATGACAAACTTGGAGATGTAATGCCAGGGAGAACCAGATCCCTTGGATTAAAGATGAAAAAGGTAGATAAATAAAATCAACATTGATGCTATACATGTTTCATTTAAAGTTTTATTGTGAAATATAGCATCATTCAAAAAAATGTATGGAAATATAATGTATAGTTTAAAGATACATGCTTCTTTAAGATAGTCCAGTTCAAGGAAAAATTCACTGTGATTAGTTCTTACCATGACCCGATAATTGAATTTCCAGATCTAGAAGAGCCAAAAAGCATCCCTCACACGTCTTACTAATACATGCAGCAGTTTTCCTATGTGGGAACTTTTCTTTGACAAAAGCATTTTTTTTAATGGAGAATTTTTAAAAATTAGAAATTTAGGCCAGAAGGTTCTGATATCAACCCTGAATATATTTGATTGTTCTTAGAGCTTTTTGAATTACTTCTATTTATTCCTATTTAATACACAGTTTACTCCATTCTACCTGTCTGACTCATTCC